CTGCTGGCTTGCCAGCGCACTGCCACGCCGGTCACATCCCACTGCCGCGCCTGCGTGTGTACGCACTCACCTGGCCATGTCACTGCAGGCCTTGACTGCCTGCCACAGCGCAAGCCGCGACCACCACCACTGCCCGGCCTGCCGCTGCTGTTGGCTCACCCAGCGCGCCGGAGCGCCGGCTGCGCCCTCGCTTCCGCCCGTGAATGCACAGGCCCTGGCTGCTGCTGCCTTGGCTGCCTGCTGCCCTCGCTAGCCCATGGGTCACCTCGCCGGCTGATGCGCTGCGTCTAGGGCGCCGACCGTGCCTACCGTGCCATGCCCTGCTCTGCCCTACTTTGGCCGGAGGTGCGCCGGGTCCACGCTATACGCCGCCATCGCCACGCCGGCACTGCTCCCATTGACTCGCCTTGGCTGCATGCGTGCGGAAAGATCACCTATCTCCCCATCACCCGGTGTCGTGCTGCACTGTGATTGTCTTGTCCGACGCTGTCCACGGCGACGCCATACCGCGCCTCGTCGGCTTGCAGCCTCGGCCGTGCAGACAGCCGCCTGGGCACGCCTCGCTGTCTCCGTCGTTATGGGCACGGGTACGTTGCGTTGATGACCACGGCTGTACCAAGCCATGCCGCGCTAGAGCCCATGTCCTCGCTGTAGCCATGACCGGCGGGACCTCCTTCATTCAATTCGCCGTGACCGCAGCAATCTAATCAAATTCGTCGTAGCCTCGGCTCCGTTGGGTAACTGGCCGCACAACAGTCCCCACCTCACTGTCTGTGTCCCCGTGCTGTGCCCCAGTTTTGAAATGCCATGCCATCGGGTCCATAAGACCAGGGCGATCTGCGCCGTCGGCTAACCATGCAACCAAGGCACCCCGTGGCAATTCAGTGCACCACCAGCCCCACTTTACCCTCCTGAGCACCCTGTGCACCTCGATCGCAGTGTTGCAGCAGTCCAACCTTCCCTAATGTGGTTGTGTCATCTCCGTGCGCCGCTACGGCGTTGGTGCGCACGCGGCCAGCTCGGCTCGGGCCGTCTTTGGTCGTACCATCAACGCAAAGGTATCCGTGGGTAGTCCCTTGAGCTCTCTAGCTTAGTTGCTTGCTCTGTCTTCGCTGACACTCACGGGAACGCGCCCGCCATCGCAGGGAAGGGACCACCGTCGAGGAGGGGGCTCGGCACAGCGCCCCTGTTCGCCATGTAGCCTCTAGTCGCTGCGCTTTGTCCCCAAGGTAATCATCGGCCCCTTAGTTAGGTAGTGGAGGGTTGGGTGATGCCGGCGTAGCCGCCCAGTGCCGCGCCATCACGCCGGTGTGTGCCCTAGTGTCGGGGGACGTCGCCGCGGCAAAGAAAGGAATGTAGAGGGTGCTATCTGTGAAGCCTGTGACTCAGTGTAATAGTGCTCGGGCTAGTTGCGCGAATAGAGTAAATGGCGGGGGCTTATTTGCGATTGCGCCAGGCGCGCGTGGTTCTGCGTTGGGCCGCTGGTGTTGGGCCACGCTGGGGCCTGCTGGCGCGCGCGGGCGGGAAAACGGCATGGGCCGAGCCAGCGCGAGTTGGGCCGAGGGGTAGGATTCGGTTTCCTTCAATTCTAGTAAATTAGAAATGTTTATTTATTTTAGTTATGAATTGAACTTCGATAAATCATAGTAAATTACGTAGTTGTCCAAAAATGGTGAGACTAATTTTGTTAGGTTCGCAAAAATACCATCTGCTTGTTAGTACAGTTAAAATGCAATTAGCTGTGGCGAGTATTGGGTCATAAATTCAAAACTAGAGAGCTAATATTAGGCAGGTTAATACTTGTAGGAATATTTATGGATAATTGGTGATAGATATAGCCACAAAAATTTTACAGTAGGTCCACTAGGTTGTTATGTACTTGCTGTAAATTTGGTAGCCTGAGAATGGGTTGTTAAACAAAATAAGCCATTACTCTTATTTTATCGTATCTAGATTAAATCGGTATTAGGAGTAAGAATACCTGTAGTTGCAATAAGAATGTATGCCATGTTTCATACTTATTAGTGGTGACGATACGTAGCTTAGACTTTAGTGGGTAGACCTCACTTATTAGTTTAATGGATGTACTTTTAGGTTAAGAGTTGCTGTGTCATATTATTAAACATTGCATCGTCATTTCATGTAGATCGTGAACTGGTAGACTTCGTGCCCGTCAGCGAGCCGGAGTACGACGAGGTGATCGAGGAGTACGAGGAGGAGATCCTCGTGCAGGAGGGAGCCCAGGAGCCTGTTGGTGCTGACCCTGCTGACCCGGCGTCTGCCCAAGGCAAGCCCTGGTGCATAACCCCTATTTTAATGCTCACTGAATATATATATATGTGATGTGCATTTAAGTTACAGGCATTTTATGGAAACTACATGCATAAATATATCTACCCATGAGTCCTACTAGTACAGGTCGAGTAGTTGCTATGCTCAGGATGTCGGTAGCATGAGTAACCTGACGTTACTCGTAAGTAGGTAATAAAATATGATCACTCATAATAAAATGGTGGAAAGGAATGGTGACCGGGTAGGGATATGGATTGGGTACTGGTGGATGTAAGGGGTTGTGTCCTGCGGCCAACAGGGCATAGCTCGGTTACATCTTTTCCCTGTCTGTGTCGGTTAAGGACCGATCGTTGCAATGGACGCTAGGCAAGTCACAGATCTATTGTCCCAAGCGCATACTTGGGTATGGACGCAGGGAAGACTTGTTGCTCTCTTATCGTGGATCTGGCTCTTTCTGGACCGACTGATTGGAGACAGAGATGGTGGAGTTCCTTGCACCACACTGAGTCCGAGACTCAGGGGTGGGGGCTTGGAGTCTAAGTTTAGACGGGGACCTGGACACCCGGGATAGGAGAGTGGTGGGTTAGTCCTGCTTGTGCCTGGGGTACAAGCGGGGCGTGTGTTTTCGGGGCACCCAGCTGGGCACATTGGTTCGCGAATCGCTGCCGAGTCGGTATGGCTTGTCTTAACTCTAGCATCGTAGTAAGAACTGAAAGTTGAAAGGAGAAGAAATGGAACTGATTGCTCAACTCTTGCTTGAAAGTAGAACAAGTGCTTATATAGACTGCCTAGCTGATAACTTAATACGGTTAATAATAAGACATAAATAAGGACTCACTCTTAGTGCTGCTTTTGCTAAAGAAAACCAGCAAACCATAAAGCCTAGCATACTCCTTGGAGTCGAGAAACTATTTCCATTAGTCGGATAAGTCTTGCGAGTACATTGTGTACTCAGGGTTTGTTTACCCCTGTTGCAGGTGATGCTTGAGGAGTACCCCTTTGTGTGGAGGATTCTTCTGGTGGGCACAGTCGGATCCTCGCCCTTATCGCTAGTTGTTATTTTTAAATTCCGTTGTTATCATTCCACATTCTGGTATTTGGTATTGTAATAATGTACTTTTTAAGAAACTCCGATGTATGAAATGAACTTGTATTGTAACTCGTTCTCATTATTGGGTCATTGGGAAAAATGTGGATCTTTCGGGTTCTTCCTCGGGGTGTGCCCGACGGACGCCGCTCGTTGTAGCTTGCTTTCGGGGTGCTTAGTGTCTGGTGGAAGACGAGCGCCTCCGTAAGTATGCTATTTCGGGCGGTTCTGCCACATCGACCCTACACCTACGTCCAGTTTAAAGTATATCTCTCTGTATTCTTATGCTCGGTTACAACAATTGCTGATTGTAGCTATGCGATAGAATGTAAAGGATGGGATCCGGGTTGGGAGGCCCCTATCCCTCCTTATATAGTCCGGGGGTAGGGTTACAGTAGATCCGATTGGCTAACAAATGTGTTTCCTTGTTTGTTATATGGAAAACATAAAAGAATTATTCGATCCTATCACCTAGATACGACGGCACCGAATATCTATGTGATAGCTTTCTACATCTGCTAATAAGCCCATCGCACATGGGCCTCATTCCTTGTCGTCTTTGGCCTGGTAGACGGGTATGGGTCAGCATATAGACGGTGAGGTATCCTGGTCCCATATATCCGACAATTGATAATTCCTGGATGAAGTGGAGCCCAGAATGCAAACTTTGAGGACTGAATGATCACTTACTAAAACAACCATTTTAGAAGTTAAGGGACGAAACTCAACGTCAAATGATAGTTGATGAACCAAAATGACTATTTTTGCCAATTTTAAATAGTTGTGTGACACCAAATGCATTCGCTTACTATATTTGGAACTGCTCATATTTGAATTTGCTAACTCATAAAGGAGGTGAGGAGCATATAGATAGATGGTACAGAAGAAATATAGTACCCCTCCATCGAATGTGACTCTTCCTTAATTATGAGTAAATATTATGCTTACTATATTTTGAGTCTAATTATGAAAATTAATGATATGCAGATATATGATTACTGCTGTGTGACAATTAATTCACCTACATTATAATTTGAGACAAAATTTGGAGACTTTGAAGTTTGAATTACTGGTTTTCTTTCTTTGAGGGGAAATATCATAGACCTGAGAAAACTTGAGTTAGCTCAAACTGAAAATATAATCCAGTAGTGACGAAAAAGGCTTGTGAGGGAATAAAAAAACATAAGAGCAACGAGTCAAGTCAACCCAAAATGGCAATTAGGCCCCTCTATGGCCACGCCTCAGCAGTTGGTGTAAGGAAAAAGTCAACATTACCTCTCTCAACTTTTGCGAAAGTCTGTTTTTACTCCCTGAACTCTAAAACCGGATAAACTACCTCCCTGAAAATTTAAAACCGTTCATTTTAACTCCCTGACCGGTTATAAGCGGTTTACAAAGGCGATTTTGTCTTTTTTATTTATTTCAGCTGAATCTTTGAAAAAATTATAGTAAATCACAAAAAAATCATAAAATAAAAAATTCAATTTTAGGTTGGACTCCACGTGAGTAGATCTATATGGTGAACGTATAATATAATATACTTGGTGGAGGTAACGTGAACTTTTTTCTTGGTGGAACTTGAAAGTGGAGGCAATGCTGTGGACCCTGCCATGGGCCCATTTCAACGGTGAGGCGGGCCAACTATTGTTCGGCTTTGGCGTGTTTTCGCTCCAATGGTGCACGATATGAGTATGACGCATGATGAGCCGAGAGAATTGGTTGACTCGGCCGGCCCTGGTCGTCGGCGGCTCGTCGGTCGTCGCCTATTAACCTCCGGCTGGTGACAACTGCCGCCAGCCTGGGGCCGGAAGCCATCTCTTCCGACGGGGTCGGAGCACGCCATGCTGATAAAGCGTGGTGAGGGCGTCTCCTCCTCCCCCGCGTCTTGGTCTTGGCCGTCGCCGTCATCGTCCCGCCGGCGGAGCAGTGCAGGGGGCTGTTGTTGGGCCACATAATCGATCCCATCAGCCATGGGCGACTCTGTTCCTGGAGGTGTGTGCCACAAAGTTCACAGTCTCGCTCCATCCCTCTCTTTCTCTCGCTAATCATCTTTGGTTTGCCGTGCTACGAACATATACTACATAGGATACTTCATCGGCCGGCCGGCGAACAAGGCGGACGACCAGCCGCAGGCGGCTGCCGCTGAACCCAAGCTTGCCAACACCCAGATCCCCGGAGGTACTACGCCACATGCATGCTCCACTGACGACCCACAGCCAGCGACGGAGCGTGACTCAACATCAAGGGGGGGCTAATTAAGTGCTAAGCATGTAGCCCGATAGGATTTTATGGTAGTATACGTAGGTCTCAGCTTATTATACAACGAGTGAGGTGTCATGCTACATAATGAGAACTGAATGCAAAAGCTAGCAAGTCATTATTAAAAAAAAATAGGCAGCTATTATGACTCCCAGCCTAGTGTACGTAGTAACAGGCCTTTCTACTTTGGCAAACTACCGGTCCTTCGTAACTTCGCTGCAGGCAAGCAGGGACCGGAGCCCAGTTTCGCCTCCACTGAGCTCCGTCCCTGCCCACAGCAACGCACGCAGCCACGCACCACACCATTATCGAGTTTGTTGAATATGTATAGTAACTTTGCCTTTTGAAACGAATAAAGATTACTTCGTCGGGACACCGGAGAACCTTAGGCCGCAGGTGGCGACGGCGGCGACCGAACCAGCACGGCCGGCCGGTGACCTCAAGCGATCAAGAAGCTTCATGGAATGGTATATACTCCTGCTGCTGAACCCACGCACCTCGTCAATTTGCTTAATTCTTCGCTTAGCGTTTCGTGGCTAATCGTATTTCTTGCGGCAGGTTCCCTTGTCTCCGCGGCGGACAAGTTGCAAACTAGGGGATCGATCGGCAAGCCCAGCGGCGGCGTGATCGATCGCAAGATTCAGCACAGCAATTTGGGCAGGGGCGGGCGACAACCAACCCTCGACCTTACCTGAATTGCAGGTTCTGTGTCTATGCAACATGTTCTGTTTCACGAGTGTCCCGGAATTTGATACGCCGTGTTCATTTCACTCCAATGTGCAAATTTAAGAAAGATTGGTACCCAATCCGTATATATTGTCTAGTTTTGCTATGTTCAACCGTTCCGGTTTCTGGTTGTAAATTTTAATGACAATGAGGTTGTGACGTAGATCGGATTTTTTTTTACCTCTTGTCTTCACTGTGTGCTGCCCTATCGCGTAGTTGAAAATAAACAAACTCAACTTTGAAAGTTCTTTCTTGTAAATTCACTGTATATACATGTATTGCTCATTGGTACGAATGAGCTAGATGAGCCACAGGCCGACAGCCGGTTAGAGGGCCCAGCATACCATAGTGGCCATAGCTGATGAGCTTCCCAACAAACGTTCCACACCCGGTTGGACAAGTGCTGGTTAAAAAAAGTTACTGTATCTGGACATTGGGTACCACACCCTGACCCTGTTAGTACGCCTATTTTCCATGTCATTAGGTCTCGCACCATGTTAGGACAAGCGCACGGCCCAATGAAGCTCGTCTCTGTCACCTGCTAACTATCACTGTTGCATAATGCCTTTTTTTTTTTGAATTACACAAGTACAGGCGCAGACGCTCAACATGCATGTACACTCACCCCTATGAACACACATGCGTAAACCCTACCCCTATGAGCACCTCTGAAAGACTATACCGGCACATTTCAAGATTGACGAAGTCACCACCGGCGCCTCGCTGTCGACAGGAACATCACCTATCACTGAAAGTACAACGCCATTAAATCCTGGAATAAATCCAGGACAATGCGAGCACCCGTGCCAAGTCGATGACTTCAACTCGGATGGACAGGCTCCACCACAGGGATCTAAAAAAACTGAGCTAGGCTCAGTTCGCATTGGATAATGCATTTTGAAACTGTACTAGTCAACAGTTAATTTGGTCACCATTTGTTGAGATTTTTGAATCATTTATTAAGATTTTGATTACTTATCCTTCTAATTTTCTTAGTCAAGGATAGTTCAAAGTATCTTATTGTTGAAATATGCTTTGTACTGTCTTGCTGTTGTCCTGCCACTAACAGCTGAAATATGCCTTCAGTTATTGTTTTCTTAGTCAAGGATAGTTCAAAGTATCTTATTTTATTGTTTCCAGCAATGCTTACTTGGTTGCCAACCAATAAGAATAATAGAATGGAAAGCATTGCCCACGGCAACCAAAATGATGCCGTAATCGATTGTTGTGCAACAGTTATGGGTGGGAATAGTTTCCATTAGTGTTCCCTTTCCCTTTGCTCAACCAAACAACACCAAAGGTGCATAGACCGGTATCTAATTACGTCATACTTGATTGCAGCCTGGCCTTAACCAAATGCATGTAACACTTTCTATTCCGCTCCGTGAACAGATAATGTTACATTTTTTCGAATCAAACAACATCGTATATGCTTGTTCGAGTCAACTAGGACGCAGGATGTAAATTGTTGTCCCAAGTCAATTGAGATGAGTAGGAACTAAAATTGGCACATGAATTAGACGCCTCGCGGATCGGCCGTTCTTCGGCTGAAAATTGAGCGTAGCGTGGATATCGGAAGAACCCAAGCCAAATCTTGGCTTGCACTGCTTGCAACCAAATCACATCCTCGCCGAAGGGAAACGGCTAAAATTAGGCCCTGTTTCCTCTAGCAACAATCCAAACATGCTCTTACATTCTCTCAGTTTGTGACATAAAGACGAGGGTAAAGACCACCTTTTACTCCGATCTCCAGTTGCGAAGGGGTTTTGGAACCAGAATTGATGTTGCTTTTATGTATGACATGATCATTATGTATTACTAGTTTGTTAGGGCAAGCAGTTTTTTTATGCTAGCATTTTCGGTTTCTATGTCAAATGGAAGCTTGTTTTAAATAAGGATTTGATCTACTATATATGTTTATGAAGCCTATAGTTAAGAAATAAATCATCTATAGTTCAAGAGCTCTGGCATCCTGAAGTTTGTGTTTTCTTTAGGGTACATGTACATCTTATCAAATTTAACATCGCCAGCAGTAGCCAAGGATGGCAACGGATCGGGTTTGGGGTGGATATCCGCGGGTTTCGGGTTCTTCGGGTTTGTGTTTGGGAATGGTTTTTCACCCATGGTTTTCGGGTTCGGAGCCCCGAAACCAATCGGGTTCGGTTTCGGGTTTGGTTTTCCACCCGTGTATATCCAATGGATATCCGAAATAAATCATTTAGAATTAAAACTCATGTTTTATAATATACTAATAATAATTTGTTTACTTAGATTATTAAATTTATTTAAAGTTGACTCATGAAAATATTTATTATTTGTTGCCTCTTGTTTATACATGTGAATATGTGTATATATATCCGCGGGTTTCGGGTATCCATTCGGGTTTCGGGTATCCGTTCGGGTTTCGGGTATCCACGGGTTTGGTTTTGGTGATGGATTTCCACCCGAATCGGTTTTCGGGGCGGATTCGGGTTTCGATTTCGGGTTTCGGTTTTGGGTGCACGGAGACTCCACCCGATCCGAACCCGACCCGTTGCCATCCTTAGCAGTAGCGCCTGGACGTCTGGACGGACCGCGCGTCCGGACGCCCGCGCCTGCTGCACGCACAGGCGGGGTCCGCTCGCACCACTCTCCCATGCTTCCTTGCTTCCTGCGCCCCTCCACACCTACTGCGCCTGCAGCTGCAGCAGTAGCTCACATTGCAACATGCATAACACCCCGATCTACTTTTGAAACATCCAAAAGAAACAATTACAATATACGTACGAAAACAACTGAAACATTCGAAACATATGTCTGAAACACATGCAAAAACACATGAAAACACTTGAAAAACAATTGCAAACATATGCAGCATCCGGACAAAACACTTGCAACATATGTGTGAAACATATGCAACATCCAGATAAACACACTTGCAACATATGTCTGAAAAAACAGATGAAACATTGGGAACAGACACTTGTAACATACGTATACAATTATTGCAACATATGCAACATCCCGATCTACTTTTGCCATATCCACATGAAACACTTGAAACATACCTACAAAACATCTGAAATACTTGAAACATGCGCTTGCAACATGGGGGAATTGGGGGGGGGATTCCAGCCGTCGGGGTCGGAGCCGGCGCCACACGAGCACCACCACAACCACCATCGCTAGCATCACCGGGCTTGCCTCGGCTGGGCAGGCGGTGCGTGCGAGGGCACTGGAGCGAGCAACGCGGGATGGGCGAGAGCGACGGGTGGGAGCGAGCGGCGCGGGATGGGCATGTGGCAGCAGCGAGGCGGAGTGGGTGCGCGGTGTCTGGGCAGGAAGGCCGCGGCTGGAGAAGGCCGCCGTGTTGGAGAAGGCCAGCGGCGGGTGGGGCGGTGCGGTGGATGCGCCCACGGCGGTCGCATGGTACGGCATTGGGAAAGGAAATGTCGTCGTGTTTTTTATTTTTTTGGGGAAACTGTGTCGTACTGAAAGTGGAGCGGAGGAGGCCTGCCGGCCCCGGCAAACCCAGGAACGAGTCGTCTGGATGAAACTCGCCTAGACAGACGCCCATGTGCCAACATTATCATTTTAATGTATGTAACACGTTGATCATGGCTACTTTGATTCCTCTCATACACCTACCACCTTTGCAATGGTGGAGTGCGGCATGGGTGTACCATCAATCAGGGCACACCTGATGATTGCATATTCAATCATGGAGTTGCTGACTTGGGCGGTGCTGGCCCTTGTTGTTTTTAACAGGTACTCCCTCCATCCCTTATTATTTATCATTTTGAGTTTCCATGTCACAACTTTAATTAGATTTGTAGAAAATTTGTATAATATTTGTATCTCTAAATAAATTTATTAAAATACTAGATTCAAAGATCTATTTAATGATATCAATTATGCATCATAAATATTAATATTTTTTTATATAAAATTAATCAAAGTTATTTCTTGGGAAGCGAGAAAGATAAATATTTAGATATAGAGGGAGTA